TGGGTCAGAATGCAGAGCAGTGGGTCAGAATGCAGAGCAGTGGGTCAGGATGGAGAGCAGTGGGTCAGAATGCAGAGCAATGGGTCAGGATGGAGAGCAGGTGATGCACAAGGAGCCTGCAAACAAAGCATGCAGGATAAGGTGAGCATTGGTGCAAGGTGTGCTGCAGAAGTGTGCAAAGCAAGGCGTGCAACAAGGCATGCATGAGGCACATGCAAATCAATGCATGCAGAGTAGCAAAGCAGAGTGTGCTCAAAATGCAGGTAAAGGCGTGAGGATGATGCAGATCAAGGCATGCATGCAAAGCAAGACGTGAAGACGATGCAAAGCAAGGCATGAACACAAAGCAATGCATGAGGGCAGCACGAAGCCGTGCACGATGCAAAGCAAGGCGTCAATGCAAAACAAGGCATGCACATGAAGTAATGCATGAGGAAGATGCAAAGCAAGGCGTGCAAAGCAATGAGGAGGAGGATGCAAAGCAAGGCATGATGAAGATGCAAAGCAAGGCATGAGGAGGATGCAAAGCAATGGTGAGGATGCACAGCAATGATGGAGATGCAAATGGAGATGCAAAGCAACGAGGAAGGAGATGCAAAACAATGATGATGGAGATGCACAGCAATGATGGAGATGCACAGCAGTGATGGAGATGCACAGCAGTGATGGAGATGCACAGCAATGAAGGAGATGCACAGCAGTGATGGTGATGCAAAGCAATGATGGAGATGCACAGCAATGATGATGAAGATGCCCAGCAGCGATGAGGACGCACAGCAGCGCAGAGCACAGCGCAGCACTGAGCTGCAGGCAGCCCTGGGCTCGAGGCCCCTTTGCAGCCCAGCCCCCCGCGCACCGGCGTCAGCATCTGCAGGCTGTCGGCGAAGTTCCCCAGGAAGGCCATGACAGCCATGCGCTGCGGCAGCCGCTCCACCTTGCTGAAGTGCAGCATGAAGCGATCCTCGGCCGACAGCTCATCCGGCGCGCGCCGCTCGCGCTCAAACTGCCGCAGCGCCTTCACCTCCGCCTCCGTGGGCACGAAGCGCATCAGGCACTCCACGAAATCCACCGGCAGCGCCGCCAGGTCGAAGCTGCGGGCAGCGCGGAGCTGCAGCCGGGCCCCAAAGTGCAGCACCGACACAGCGGGCAGCAACCGACCCCATTGCATTGCAAACAGCCCCAAAGTGCAGCACCGACCCCATTGCATTGCAAACAACCCCAAAGTGCAGCACCGACCCCATTGCATTGCAAACAGCCCCAAAGTGCAGCACTGACCCCAAAGTGCAGCACCGACCCCATTGCATTGCAAACAGCCCCACTGAGCACCAACTGACCCCACTGTGCAATACCAATCCCATTAAGCATCCAATTAACCCCATTACGCCCCATCCATCCCCATTACCCCTCACCCAGCCCCACTGTGACTCCAGCATCCCCAGTGCACCCCAAAAGCCCTCCAGCCCCCATCCATCCCCCCTACACCCCAAACAACCCCACTGCACCCTAATGGCCCTGCTGCACCCCATCCACCCCCCTACACCCCATCCACCCCCATTACACCCCATCCACCCCCCCTACACCCCATTACACCCCCCC